CACATGTTGGTGCACACCTGCCTGTAACTCCATTTCCAGGGGATATCATGCCCTCTTCTGGCCTCCACAGGTACCAGCACACCAGTGGCATACAGTCATACGTGTAGGTAAAATATCCATACACATAAAAGTTTTAATAGGTAAAAATGAGCTTTTGCAGCTTAGACTCTTGGTATCACTTGCACTTTTAAAGGAAGAAGAAATGAGATTTTTTTTTTTTTATCATGAAACAAAGCTTCACTAGCAAGGTACTGAGTACTGATTTTCTGCTAAATATTTGCCTTAATTAACAGAAATGAAAGGAAATGGGATTCTGCTGGTTGTGCTAGTAGAAACGTATCCATGGAACCACATGGCCTCTGCAAAGTAATGAAGGTAAGAGTGTTCCCCAGAGGTCAATATTTGAAGCTACAAAAGGCATTCAGGAGAGTTCTGAGTTCAAGGCCAGCCTAGTCTACATAGTGAAACCACCTACGTCTCAAAAACAAAACAGAATGAAAAGGTATGCTTTATTTTAGTTTCATCTGATTCTGCCAAATTGTCCCCCAAAAAGACTGTGCCAAATTATATTCTTACCCTCACTAGGTAAACAGATACTTTTTCGTACATTAGATGTTGTTGTTTTAAAATTATTTCAATTTTATGTGTATGGATGTTTTGTCTGAATTGATGTCTGTGTATCACTTGTGTGCCTGGTGCTTGTGGAGGTAAGAAGGAGTTTTGGATATCCAAGGACTGGTGTCACACATGGTTGTGAGCTGACATGTGGGTGCTGGGACCCAAACCCAGGTCCTCTAGAACAGTTCTTAGCCACTGAGCCATCTTTCCAGCCCCTGAAAGCTAATATTAATACATTTTATTCTGGTTTACCTGATGGCTGAAAATGACCTCTCTTTGATTTACACGTTTCCTGCTTATTGTTGCTGTTACAGATGTTTTCATATCTTCAAATTTTTCCTATATATTTATTGGCTATTTAAATTCTTATGAATTAAATATATGAAAGATCCTGAAAAAGAAGAGATCAAAGCAGATTTGTGCTTGAATATGAATACTGGATATTTTTCTCTGTACATGTTTTTCCTATCCTCCCCTCCAATAAAGGAAAATGTCAAATTCAGGTAATTATATATAACATGAATACACTAAAATATGTTGTGGGTCAAAAAGTAATATTGAGAGAAACAACCTAGTCAGGAGAAAGAGAAGGGGACAGAGCAGCCAGTGCTCTTAACATGTGTGGAGGTGCCCATGGGTGTGAGAGGCATTGGTTAGTAAATATGATGATGAGAAATAAGCACTTCTCAACTAGAGGGATGCTTGACTGGACAGGGATTACTTAGGAGTTAATTGCTGCATCAGTTAACTCTGTGGGACGCTGGGTTCTGCCAAGCTATATTCCAGGAGGTGGCAGTAAAGCCCTACTCACCATAAGCCATATCCCTCTCTAGGAGGAAAATGCTAAAATTTGTAATTAATTTTACATGAGAGCTAGTATCTGGTCCCTTTTATCCATGCATCCAAAAAGGTCATGTGGGGGGGGTGGGTGCACATGTGTGGAGGTGCCCATGGGTGTGAGAGGCATCGGGTCCTCTGCAGCTGGAGTTAGAAGTACTGAGAACCTGTCTCACTGAGCCATCTCTGCTGCACTCTCTTTTGTGTGTGTATGTTTGTTTTGGTTAAGGCACAGTGTGGTAAGGGTTAGGCAGTCTCCTGAGACATAGGAAGGGCCTGGGGACACTGAAATGTGGCATCAGAAGGTACCACTAGTGCAGTGGTACTCCTCAGCAAGCATTGTGAGCATTCTATTTATCCAAGCTGCAGGGTTTATGAAACACACTGGGGATATAGAAGGCTGGGAGGTCCTGATGTCTTCACAGCCTCTGGTATTATCAGAGCTCCCCAGATGCCATTAGACAGATGGGGACTCCTAGGTCAGCAAGGTGGAACAGTGGCTAGTTGGAAAAGTTGACATGATGAAAAAGAGCTGTGGACATGTGGACAGTGACATGGTACATTTGTTTATGCTGCATTTATTTAATGATGTAAAGATGTGTTGCTTTGCATGCCCAAGGCACTGACTGGTCCAAGTAAAAGATGAACAGTAGAGGGGTAGGAGGGGCTGGTGGGAAGAGAGAATACATAGGAAAAGGAATCTAGGCTCAAAAGAGAAAGAGAATGAAGGAGAAAGTGGGTAATGTTCAGGGCTAGGCAGCCAGACATAGAGTACGACATACAGAATGAAAGAAAGGTAAAAAGCCCTGAAGTAAAACATAGATGAAGAGAAACAGGTTAAAATAAGTAACAGCTAGCAAGAAATGAGCATAAACTAAGGCCAAGCATTCATAACCAATAATAACTCTCTGTGATATGATTTGGGAGTGGGTTGGTGGCCCAAAAGCAAGACTGCTACATGATGTCATCAGGAGCTCTGAGTGTGAGACAAAGAGTTGACAGAGTCACTAATGTAGATTTGCTTCCCAAAACGAAACTGGGGTCATGGCTGAAGGCAGAGGGACAGGAATGCTGACCAGGCTGCTTTGAGAGCAATAGTCTTTCAAGGCTTTGAACATCTTCAGGACTGATTGCAAACTTGGTTTTCAAGTATGACGTGTAAGGCAATGGTAGAATGTAAGTCAGTCCTCAGAGTGACTGAAAGAAAACTAGAAAGAGAATCCACACTGGCCTTGGCTTTCTCCCTTGTTTCTGTTAATTTGCCTAATGTAGACCCAACCCTGATGGTAGTTAGCAGATACAGCTGCCATCAATCCACTGGAAATTTTTCAATTTAAAAAATGCATAGCAAAAAATATTTTTTAAAGACTTTTATCTATTTATTATGTATGAAATGTTCTGCCTACATGTATGCCTGCAAGCCAGAAGGGGCCACCATATAGTTGCTGGGAATTGAACTCAAGACCTGTGGAAGAGCAGCCAGTGCTCTTAACCTCTGGGCCATCTTTCTAGCCCCTACAGCAAGATGTTTTAGAGGAAACTAGCTTCTATCTTATGTCTAAAAAGGTAAGTCCTCAGTCCACTTCTCAAAACAAAAAAGTCACTGAAGAAAACAGAATCAGGGAGGATGGGGAGGGAGGCAAGTGCTGGTCATATGGAGACCAGGGTTAGAACAGACTGCTGCTGTTTTCATGACAGCATCACCACACACTCCGTGTCCCGAACAGAGAAGGAAATTGTGAATGACATTTCCAAAGTTTAACTGTTGACTTCATGCATAACGTGTAATGAACCCCTGTCTTTTTGTGCACTGGCACTTGGGGGTCCTGATTCCTCGGGGATACTCGGCTACTAGGCCACCCTGACACCCACAGACTTGTCTTGACTTTTACAAAGAGGGCTTTTACAAGGAGGATTGGACTCAGAGTTTTAAAGAATATTTATGTTTTTAAAATGTATGTGTATGCATTTTTTGTATGTATGTTTACCACATTCATGCCTGGTGCCTACCGAAGGCATCATATCCCCTGAGACTGGCCACAGACAGTTGTTAGTCATGGGGGTGCTGGGAATTGAACCCTAGTCCTCTAAAAGCAGCAAGCCATCTCTTCAGCCCTATCCCCACACCCAGTTTTTTTTTTTTTTTTCTAATCGTTGATTATTTACTTGCAGAAGTTCTAAAGTTTCAAGAAAGAAAGCCCCAATCAAAACGCAGGTTGGGCTGGACAGCAGTAGCACATGCCTTTAATCTCAGCACTTGAGAGGCAGAGGCAGGCAGGTCTCTGTGAGTTTGAGGACAGCCTTGTCTACAAAGCAAGTTCCAGGGACAGCCAGGGCTGTTACACAGAGAAACCCTGTCTCCAAACAAGCAACCCCCAACTTCCCCAGTCCACCCCCCCAACACCAGGTTGGTTTGAACCAGTGGGTGTATATTAATATTTAATAAGGATCAGGAGAAACAAATAGGCCGAATAGATGTTTATTCATGGAGAAATAACTTAGAACATAGATGAGCACCAACAGGTTCCTGGTCCCGAGGATGCCTCCAGGTGTACTCCTGTCCCTGTGCTACAAGCATGAGAGCTCTCTGAGGCCCCTTCCTCAGACTTAGTTCCCCCAGGTAATGTCTGGCCCTGTCTCCATCCCCAATGGGTGTGGTCTATGCCACAGGTGTGAATAAGGTGAATATCTCACTACAGGTGTACTGTGAGCATGCCAAGAACATAATTCTTGAGAACGTGCGAGCCACTGGCCATGCACACAGAACCCAGGTCCCCATGACACAGGCAGGGTGCAAGATGAGTGATACAAGCAAGAAGTGGGGCTTCATAGAGGTCAAGCAGTCAAGCGTGTGTTTGTCATCTGCCTGAGAGCGCAAGGTCCCTGGAGTTAACTAATATCCAGGAAATTTTAAAACTAAGCCTTTGATTAGAACCATGTTGAAAGTTTCAAGGGAAGTGTTTCGTTTTATCTGTGTCTTTGTGATGATTATAGGAGAAACAATGGCATATTTATCAAATTAGTACATATAAGTAACATCAGAGAAAGCTAGGATATTATCATTTAAATAATTCGAGTTTGCTAGTTCAGCATACAATTGATTTATGACCTAGAGCCACATTCTCTAGAAGACTCTTTGCTCTAAGCATCATGATTTCTTTGAAAATTCTCATGGATTCACCCATTCTCTATGTTTCCCAGTGAGTACGAAAAGAGCGTCATTTATTTCTACACTTGTCTCTTTAAAATGTCCTTCACTCTAATTTGGAAGGGGGGTTAATTAATACTGCTGGGTCTAAGTCTGGGTAGAAATTATTGGAACAGCCCATTTAAATTTTTTTTTTTTGCATTAATATCCTGTGGGATAAGAATGAGTCAGTTACTGCCAGACTTTGTAAGCAAAAATGTGTAATGAAATCTCTGCATTGTTGACAAAACGAATCTAGTCAATGATGCTGAGGATGCTTAGACTTCTGAAGTGATTTCTAGGCTGGAGAGAAACAATGTCACTGTCTTCCTCAGATTCTTCAGTGTGTTTGGGCTTCTCATTTCTCTATGGTCTCCTCAGATGAGCTTCTACTCTGGAGTTGGCCTCTGAGGAAGTATCTCCCAGGAAGTCTACCTTGTGGCAGGTAGAAAGGATAGAACTGGAACCGGGGGTTGAAGTTTGGAAGGAGGAAAGGTCTGTTATGAGGCCTCAGATAGAACCCAGGCCTTCTTGGTAGAAAATAAAACCACGTCCATGGGAATGTCCTTGTGTTGGGTTGTGCCATTGTTACCGCAGGCTTCCTTGTGGGGGGCACAGGAGTGAGTGTGAAGATCTGGCAGTCTGTAGGGGCCACATTATCTTGTGAGCCATCAGGAGGAGTGACCACATCTTGTCCTGTGGAAATGAAAATGTAGGTCAGGAAATGGGCCTGACAACAGAAGAAAGTTAGATCCCTCAGGGTGAGGATGGGACAGAGATGGGAAGAATAACACGGCCTCATCTTCAAGCCTGACTAAGTGAACTGCAGTGGTCCACGGAAATGAAGCATGAACACACCCAGTGATCCACATTTCTATCTGGGGAGCTGACCCAAAAGAAATAAATGCTTATTTATCCAGAAATACTAGTTCAGCATGTTCATAGCAGCCAAAACAATCCAAACGCCCATCAATAGGAGATTAGCTAAATAAATCATGTGTGTTTACATGATGAACTCGTCTCCAGGGATGAAGAGGAAGAACAGCTAACATCTAGAAACCCAGATGAATCCATGTATGTTGAACAAAAGGAATTAGACACAAAAGCATACACATTGTAAGAGTTCATTTATATGAAGTTCAAGAGTAAGAAAAATGAATCTATGGTTAAAAATCAGACCAGAATTGATCTGAGGGGTTAGCACAAGTGTTATTTCATGGAGGGATTAACCAGTGTTTAGCAATGTTCTACACCTTGATCTCAGAGATTATTAAGTAGATTTGGGTATAAGTAACATATACACATACATATGTATGCCTGTATAAAATGTGGTGAAGTTGTAGTTCTAAGATTTGAGGATACTTTTATTTTTTTGTATATGACTTATGACAAAATAAGGAAAACTTACTGAAATAAAAAAGGAATTTATTTACTATTTAGAAGATAAGCCAGGTGGTGGTGGTGCATGCCTTTAACTCTAGCATTCAGGAGGCAGAGGCAGGTAAGTTTGAGGCCAACCTGGTTACAAAATAAGTTCCAGGACAGCCCAGAACTGTTACACAGAGAAATCCTGTCTCAAGAAACCAAAAAAAAAAAAAAAAAAAAAAAAAAAAAAAGGGGGGGGGGCAGACAAGAAGAAATTTGGATGTAGCCAAGGGTCACTCTTTCCTGTGCCAACTTGAGTCCTTTGGCTTAGAATATGTCAATCTAGACTTGAGAAGACTGGCAGACATGAATGGTGGAAACATGAGCATCCCACAGGAAGCTGAGAGTTCAACACATTAAAAAAACAAACAAACAACCTAGTACCCCTCTCCCCATCCCCTTAGGACAGTTGATTTGAGCTTATTTGATGTACTGGATGTACTTATCTAGCCACCAGACTCCTTAGTTCCTATTTTTATTCACAATCTTTAGAAACATCAGCCATACATGGGTATGGCTGATTGGCTGTTGATAGATACTCAGCACACTCACTAGCTAGTCACTGATGAATTAGAGCTACTGGTCTTATGGGTGGCAGTGAGACACTGTGAGAATGCTGGGAATCAAACTCAGGTCCTCTGCAAGAGCAGCCAGTGCTCTGAACCATTGAATCATCTCTCCAGCCCATGGTATAAGAAGCCTAGTAGTTTAGTGCTCTCTTCTGGGAATCCACAAGGGCCCAAGATCAAGGTGTAGCTTGCCTCTATCCCTCACTTGAGGCAGTCAACAAGACCATGTAAATATGTTTTGATATTTTCTCAGCAAACTAATCACATGGTGATTATATTGGGCTACTACTTAGAAACACAAGTGTTCTAAAATGTAAGGATCATGGCTGGAGCAATGACTCAGTGGTTAAGAGCAATGGCCACTCATTAGAGGACCCAGATTTGATTCCTAGCACACACATGGTAGCTTACAACCATGGATAACTCTAGTTCCTGGGATCCAAGCCTTCTTCTAGTCCTCTTGTATACCAGGTACTCAGGTGGTATGTAGACATCCATGCAGCCAGAACACCCATACACGTAAATGAAAATAAACTTTAATAAAAATAAAGCGCAAGAGCCCTAGGGTTGGTTTGGGAATCTGTCATGATTCCCACCCATATGGGCCACCCATGTGAACTGACATCTGTGCTTTACTCTACTGGCTCTGTTGACCCCGCCCATCTGTCCCTTTCATTTGACCTCATTCTACTTCCCATTATCATTATCATTGTTTTCTCCTCAAAGTGGCCTTCAAAACTCCAGTCACTATTTGAAGAATTCTTCCTCTCCAAGATGACTTAATGTTACAATCCAGAGAGAAAACTGGGCGTTCTGAATAAGCTTTTTGGGTTATTCTTTTGTTAAAGAGGGCTGTAAACTATGCACACATTTGACTAGTTACACCGTGACTGTGTCCTCCACTCTACAAATGCTACTTTAGCAAAGCCTTAATATTCCTCGGCTTAACATTTGCTTCCAGATGCTTAAAGTTCCATTTTCTACCTCTTTTCTCTAGATTTCTCATCTAGTCACAGAGTCAGATCTCCTTAGGGAGTTCTTCTCTGCCTAAAGGCTGGGCAATGGCCCCTTGCAAGAACTTCCATAGCAGCCTTTGCTCACACGCCTCACACTTATCCACAGGCCTGTGGAAGAACTAAATTGAATGAGAGAAATCTCTGTGCTGATATATTATTTATGGTTTATTAAAGCTTGCCTGAGGATTCAGAAAGCAAAGTCAGCCACTAGCTATAGGGGTTAGTAGGTGGTGGCACACCCCTTTAATCCCAGGATTTGGAGATAAAGGCAGATGGATCTCTCTGACTTCAAGGCCACCCAGGGCTACATTAGAGTGAATCAGTCTGAATGAGAACTAGAGCTCATGCCTTTAATCCCAGGACTCATGAGGTAGTTAAGTCAGGAACAAGGTCAGTATCAGGCATTCATTCTCCATTCACACTGAGGAGAGGCAGCAGGGTCAGTCCATTCAGCCTGAGGTAGTGGTAAGAGCTAGTGACCTGCTACTTGCTTTTTTGACCTTCATCTTGAAGCTTGATATATCATAAATAATATATCACCACATATTCCTGTTTCTACAATTGCAAAATTTCTGTGTTCCTACCTATTGGAGATAGTGTGATGATTAACATGCATTTTCCACATATTACATGCTGACACACCAGCAAAAGCACTGGACATCAAAGCTAAGCATCCTGAAAGCTTAATAAGATCAAAGCAGGTCACATATTTGAATGTTGATTAAAAACAGCTGGAGAGGTGGGGCAGTGTGGCGTTCCAGAGGCAGGATCCCTGAGTTCTGCTTCTAATACTGTGATTATGGGCAGATCCTGTCACCCCTGAGGCTTTTTCCTTATTTGTAAGATGGAAAGAATAATATGGCCTATCCAATGGGCTTGTGAGATTATCCAAATAAGATATTCATGGTTCTGAAAGTTTCCTACTGCACAGTACATATTTAGTAAGTTAGCTATTGTCACTGTTAACTGTTACAGTTATGGATGTTATGGAAGGATTTTTAACAGCACAAGCTCCAGTTCTTAGGTCTGTTTATACTTTATATGCAATCTGTGCATCAAGGGAAGTATAGGACTTAAGCACATCGTTATATAAGTGTAGGGCCATGTAGACAAGGAAGTGATTATTGACTGTTGGCCGTGACTGATGTCCTCAGCCCCTGGGACACTTTTGGATGACAGTGTTGTCAGTGAATACTTGGTGCATTCACTAAATGGCTAGAAGACATCGGCTGTTCCTTTTCAATTTTTTTTTTTTTTTTTTGGTACTCAGTGAGCATTTGATTTATGTTTTAGAATGTTTTAAATAATAATTTATATTTGGAATTATAGTACTGTATAGTAAAATCCAAAATACTGTTTTGAGTTTGGCTTTCAACTTTAAATGGGCTTATTATAGTCTAGACATGAAATTTATAACATACCCCAAAACTAGCACTTTAAAAAAAAAAAAAAAAGGTAACGATGAGAAGATCTTTTTATAATTACATGTGCTCTGTGGTTTACTGGGCAGACAATAGCTGCTTTGTAGTGAACTGTAGTGATTTTTAGAGAGGCAAGCTTGGGGCTTGATGGCTAGGTCTGCCATTCTTACCCTACAGAACACCTGAAGTCTTAGAATTCCCACACCATTTCAGACTTTAGCCACAAAGAGGTATCAGTGCTGTGGGTAGCTGACTCATAATAATTGTAACTTAATTCACTTTGTACACTCAGAGAACGATTGGCTATTTTTGTCAAATTCCTTATTTGAAAGATACAGAATTTAGAGCCCAGAAAATGTCTTCTAGGCCTCTTTCAGTATGTTGTGAGTGAAGCTGGTTCGTCAGTTAGCATGTTCCTTGTTAGGGCAGAGATGACAAGACAGCACCTGCCTCTGAGGATGGGAAAGATGTTGCACATACACCGATCCACAATGCAGAATGGAATGGAGCATACACTGTGGGTGATATACAGATTGCTATGACAATCCGAAGATGTCAGAGAAAAGGATCTGCTATTAAAAAAAAAAAAAATCTTTAGAGAACTTGCAAATGCATTATTATAGTCACATTTACATGCTGCCACTTGAAGCAGAAGGCAGATATGAAGTGGGAGGGGAATAGCTGCTGTCATGGAGGGGGGTGAGGGCATAGGGATGTGGGGCACATGTGACCCTGTTGGGCAGTCAATTCCAGGACAAGTAGAAATGAGTGAGGGCCTAGAGCCTCGGCTGCCATACTCAGAGATCAAATCTCACATCTCAAATGATATTTTTGTTTGTTTGGGGGACATGGTTTCACTATGTAGCCCTGATTGTCCATCCTAGAACTTTCCATGTAGACTAGGCTGGCCTTGAACTCACAGACAGTGCTATAATTCCAGGTTGGCATTGTTAGCTTGGTAACCATAGTAACAATAATAGCATTTGTGTAGTGCTTTTAATGTGAGGTGTTTTTTTTTTTGTTTGTTTTTATATTTTTTTTTTTTTTTTTTTTTTGCATATAAATCAATGGTCCTCTTTAACCCCACAGAAATGCATATTGATATTGTTGCTTTACATATGAGAAATTCACATGTAATGCTCACAAACGTTACAGGTGTCTCAAATCACAGAGCAAATGCTGAGACTTAGAATCATGTCTTCAGATGAGAAAATTCAGCCCTTCATTTAACCACAGGAGCTGATGATAGCAGATATAAACATTTCCAGTGTATGGAAATATGTAATCATAGAAGCCACATTTGTCTTTCTAGATGGCATTAATTATTTAACTCACACATAGTAGTAGGTAAAAACTCAAACTCTTACCTTCTGCCACAGTTAGCATCGACCAGCAGACCAGGACCCAGAAGTGGGATCCAGGAGCCATGGCTTCGCTTCTGCCCTGAGCACTCACACTGCTCTGGACCTGAGGCCTCTTTAAAGGAAGAGTGAGTGAGTCACCAGCAGCCTGAGTCAGGCAATTAGCATTTGCATAGTGGACCACAACCACCTGGACTTATGGCATGCCGGTGAGAAGTACTCAAGGAAATGCCAGATAGCATTCATCAAGCTGAAGCTTCTTGTAACGCCAGGCAAGCATCATTCACTTGGCCCTCACTGACACCTTATGTATCCTTTCATTTCCAAACGTCCTCCACCTATTACCTCCTACTTACATCTGTGGCTGCTTTTCAGTGGCATGGGAAGGTCTCTCAGGTCATTTTCCACTGCTGTGACAAAGTACTGTGACCATAGCAATTTATAGAACAGTGGTCCTCAGCCTTCCTAATGCTGTGACCCCTTAATATAGTTCCTCATGTTGCAGTGATCCCCCCAACCATAAAATTCTTTCTGTTGCTACTTTGTAACTGTAATTTTGCTACTGTTATAAATCATAATGTAAATATCTGATATGTGACCCCTGTGAAAGTGTGTTTTGACCCTATGGGGGTCACGACCCACAGGTTGAGAACTGATGTTAAGGATGAAAGGGTTTATTCGGACTTACAATTTCAGATGGTGAGTCCATGACCACCATGGTGGGGATCGTGGTGGCAGTCAGGCAGTCATGGTGCTGGAACAGTAGCTGAAAGCTTATATCTGATCCACAGGTCCGAGACAGAGCTAAGTTAAATGGTGTGGGCTTTTGACACCTCAGAGCTCACCCCTAGTGACACACCTCTTCCAACAAGGCCATGCCTCCTAATCCTTCCCAAACAGTTCCACCAACTTTGGACCCAGCATTCAACTATATGAGCCTATCAGGGTCATTCTCATTCAAACCCTCACAGAAAGGAACCATCCTAGGTTACTAGCACAGCTCCTCACCACACAGCTTGACTTCCTGGAGCAAAACACGAGGGAAGAGGAGATGCACAGGTTTCCTAACCCAGGTGTTTGAAGAGGCTGCCGTCCCTTCTGACCCAAGTGTATGTATGATCCTTCTCTACTCTGCATTTGCCCTTGAGGGAAGGGGCAGGGTTAGAAAAGTGTCTTTCCTTGTGGCCACTATGGTCACTGTTTAAATGAAAATGAAAAACTGGGAGTCTCCTTTGTAGGCTTTCTTCTAAGTCACCAACTTGCTTGGAAGATGGCCATGTGTCATTGTTCTATTGCTGAGAAGAGACACCACAACTAAAGCAACTCTCATAAAAGAAAGCATTTAACTGGGGGCTTGCTTACAGTTTCAGAGGTTTAGCCCATTGTCATCATGGCGGGGAACATGGCAGCATGCAGGGAGACATTGGAGTAGTAGCTGAGAACTAAACTGATTTATAGACAGAGATATCTGCTTTTGAAACCTCAAAGCCTACCCCCAGTGACACATTTCCTCCAACAAGGCCAAACCTTCTAATCCTTTTAATCCTTTCAAATACTGCCACTCCCTGGTGATTGTTACTCAAACCACCACAACATGACACATCTGTGCCTGGCTGGTTTCCCTGAGAGAATTCTTTCAGTTGCAGAGAGTGACAGAAGGTGGTAACAGGTGATTAAGAGCCTGGCTGTTGTTAGAAGAGAAACCTCTAATATCACTTCCTTTTCTCACTTATCATTTAATTATCTGTTCTATCCATCATGGTGGCCCTAGCCTATTGTTATAGGTATTTGAGAGGCTGAGGTGGGAGGAAGCCCATGAATTCTAGATTAGCCTTGGCAACATAGTAAGACCTTGACTCAAAAAACAAACAAAACATATATGTCCTTATTATAAGTCCAGAGACATGATCTTTGAAGTGGTGTTTGTATTAGTCAGTGTTCTGTCACTGTGATGAAATACTTGAGAACCAATTTATAAGGAAGAAAGATGTATTCTGACTCATAATTTCAGAAGTTCTAGACCCTGATCAGTTGTTTCTGTGCTTTGAACCTGTGGTGAGAACATTACAGCAGGAGCACAAGCTGCTTATCTCCTGTCCTGAACTTGTAGGCTCAAGTCATAACCCAGACTCTTAAGTGACTGCAACTAAAGGCTTGTGCTACCATGCACAGAATATGTCAGACACTATTTCAAAGGATCGGAGTACAAAGATACCTGCCCCAAAGTTCATACCCCAGGGCTGTAAAAGAATACAGGAATAAAAATATTTAGTGTGTTATCTATCATATGTTAGAAGGTCCTGTAATACATGCTACAGGAAAATGAAAACATTCAAGGAAAGGAATGTAGGGAAGCTGGCATTTATTTTTTTTTATATTTTTCTTTTTTGAGATTGGCATTTTAATTAAAAGATGATATCTGAACAAAAGACTTGAGGGAAGTGGCAAGTCATGCATGTGGCTGTCTAGAGCAAGAGTAAAGCACACAGATGGTACAGCCAGTGCAAAGAACCAGTGCAGAGTATGGTTGCATGTCATATCTGCCAGTGTGGAGATGTTGTAGATGGGCAGAAGACCGTCATCAGGGTGAGGTAAAGGAGTACTAGGAGGCTGGCTCTCTATTTTGTGGGTACAATAGGGAGCAACTGCAGGGTTTTACAGAGAGGCAAAACACAGTCCTATTTATGTGTTAAAAAATTAACTCTGGCCATTGATTGCAGAGTAGATAAGGTTGGAGGCAAGATAGTCTGGTTATAGCAGACAACTCCAATAGTCTTGGGTGGTAGTAGTAGAGGTGGAAGATGGGGGAGATTTAAGGTTTGTGTTGGAGGCCAAGTTAATAGGATTTCCTCATAAATTAGAAGTTGGGTGTGAGAAACATTGGGGAGTAGTAATGTATAAGGTTTTAGTCTGAGGGGTCAGGTGTGTGTTTAGGTTATGAGAACATGGCTGAATTCAAAATAATGTCATAATGTTGTGTTCATTATAATGAATAAAATGCCTTTCCTGGCATGGCATCTTAAGCCTGTAAGCCCAGCACTTAGGAAGCTGAGGTAGGCAAAGTGCAAGAATTCAAGGCCAGTTTAGACCGCTTAGTGAGTTCCAGGCCTGAGTGGACTAGAGAAAAACCTTGTTTTAAACAATGATAACAGAACCAATGATATTTAAGAGAGTAAATGCAAAGAACCAATATTCTTGGAACATTATTAAAGTCTCCAGAGGGGTAGCTAGGGCAAGTACCCAGCAACCACAGCATCAAAAGAAGTGAAGTTTGGGACCTAAGAAGGATCCACATTATTGTCCAGTGGGATCCAGAACAGCTTTCTTTGCTCTGGCTATGGGAAAGAAAGGACCAGTTGACAGATGAGCACACTTGTGAGGCTGTTTCTATTGACCCACAAGGGTACCGAATTCTGTTGCTTACCTTGTGTGCCTGCAGCTCTCAGGTAGTTAACGTGTGTAGTGAGTGAGCTTAGAGCAGGAGGGCAGAGCTAGTTCTACACACCAGATGAAAGAGAGGTCTATTCCTGGGAACATCACCTTTTGTCAGAGCTTCTCTCACAGTTTTACGAGGAGCAGAAGAGGAGGGTAAGGGAGGAAGAGAACACATTGCTGAGCGTCACAGCCAAATTGATCTCACACCTTGAGATTGTCTTTTGTATCTCTTCTTTGGCTCTAGACTTTGTGGTATACTTGTGACATGCTATCTGTACAGCATGTTACAAATTTGACCTTTTTCAAATAGATAGAAACACCTTAGCTTTAAGCCTCAATGCTGGGAGCCCTCTGTAAGTAGATCTGGGATAATGTCTAATATGTCTGTGGATGGAGTGGTTGGCAGTGGTCTGTGCCTATTCATGGGTAAATTTTGCACCTTGCCATTACAAGAAGGACAGAGAGCAAGAAGGTGGATTTATTCAGGAGTCTTTACCCTGATTTTTTGATCTGGTCAAGGGGGATTTTTTTTTTTTTTTAAATCTCTTTTCTCCTCTTGCTCACACCCTATCATAGCGAATTTTATGTATTGTTTTGGCTGGGCCTTAGTGTTGGGGTATGTACTCAAATATTGTTTGCGGTGTCATTGTGAGGGTGCTATTGGGATGAGGTTCCCTGCTTAAATCTGTGGACTGAGTGATGCAGGCTTGCCTTCCCCCATGTGAGTGAGCCTCAACTAGTGAGTGGGTAGGCCCCCCTGGAATAAGTCTGACCTTCCCCTGAATGGGAGAGAAGCCTCAGATTACAACTGTTTTACAGGGTTTTCTCCAGATCTTCAGTCACGAAGATTAACCCGTGAACTTTGAACTTGTCAGCTTCTAAAACTTTATGGGCTGACTCCTAAAAACCGACCCCCTCCTAACATCCATGCTTTATTGGCTCTTCTTTGGAGATCACTAACATACATGACATCTCCTTTATGTTCATGTATACACATGCCACTTCAGAGGCTGAGTGGATAGATACCATTTTGTGTTACAATCTTTTTAGTTTTGAGTGAGTGAGTTTATTAAATAATGCACAAACGCGTGCACATGCGCGTACACACACACACACACACACACACACACACAGAGAGAGAGAGAGAGAGAGAGAGAGAGAGAGAGAGAGAGAGAGCAAAATATCATGCAACTTAAACATCCAGTAGAGCCAGGTGGTGGTGGTGGAAAACATCTTTAATCCCAGCACCTAGGAGGTAGAGACAGGCAGATCTCTGTGAGTTCTAGGCCAGCCTGGTCTACAGAGTGAATTCCAGGACAGGCCCCAAAGCTACAGAGAAACCCTGTTTTGAAAAACCCAAACCCAAACCAAACAAAAAAACTCAAACCAAACCAACCAAACAAACAAAACTAAAAACAACAAACAAAGAAAAATCCCAATATCAGTAGAAACTGGCCAGGGAGGCCACTGGGGCAGAGTAGGTGTGGCCTGGGTAAGACTTCTGAGTAAAGAACAAACAGCGGAAAGGTAGTGTCAATTTGGGCTTTTACAAACATCCAGCAAAAATCCATTGGGGAAAGTAAGGCAGTCAGAGTTCTCGAGTGAGATTTTCTCCACGACTAATCTTCCTGT